GGCCTGGTTCTGGGGGCAGGAGGGACAGGCCCGGCCCGGCCCTGGGGCTGGAGTTACCACAGAACCCCAGAGTGGTTTGGGTGGAAGGGACCTTGAAGTGTCTCACTCCTGAGCTCCTCCAGTCCCAACCCCCTCCATGGGCAGGGACACCTTCCACTAGAGCAGGTTGCTCCAAGCCCCTGTGTCCAACCTGGCCTTGAACACTGCCAGGGATGGGGCAGCCACAGCTTCTCTGGGCATCGAAATAACACCTGACACGCTCTGAATGTACCAGTGACCCTCCCAGCCTCTCCACAGCCTCCGGCCACTGTTGCTCCCCAGAACACAGCTGTAACTCGGAGATGATGGCACCCTGGTGTGTGGCAGCAGGGGCAGGGCATGCGCTGGGCACTGGTGATGCTGCACCTCGAATCCTGTGTCAGTTCTGGGCCCCTCACTGCAAGAGAGACATTGAGGTGCTGGAGCGGGGCCAGAGAAGGGCACCGGAGCTGGAGCAGGGCCTGGAGCACAAGTGTGATGGGGAAGGGCTGAGGGACCTGGGGGTTTAGTGTGGAGAAGAGAAGGCTCAGGGGGGACCTGATCGCTCTCTGCAACTGCCTGACAGGAGGATGGAGCCAGGAGGGGGCTGGTCTCTGCTCCCAAGGAACAAGGGATGGGACACTTGTCTTTTCCAACCTATTCTAGTTGATTCTATGACTGTGACAACCTTTTTCATGCACCCCCTCACTTTGGGTTTGGGTTCCAACATGTCAGGGTAGGAGGCCCTCCTCCCCTTGGTTACAGATCGCATTCTTCCCTCCCACCATCCCACCACCGCCAGGTTACAACCACCATGTGAATAACCCTCGTGCTCGTTCCAGCTCCACATGGATGGAGAGGAACAGCTCATCCATCACCAAGGCAGAGCTCTGCTGTCACCACAACCCTGGCAGGCAGAGCTGCATCGAACCAGGGTGGGGGGATTGTTACCAGTGTCAGCAGAGGGACAGGGAGGACCAGGGATGGTCCCGGAGGGCAGTGATCCGTGGGTACCTGAGGAGAAAAGAGGGGTGTTGGGGGGGAATCTCTACTCCTGGGCCAGGTACACCAGGGCGAGCAATGAGGGCACTAAGTCAGGGTCAGGCATGTGTCCCCCCAGGAGACACAACCACCCAATTCCCTTCAGATGGGGAATGGGGCTCAGAATTCCCCTCCTTTCAGTTCTTCAAAGGGGCCTAAAGAAGGATGGGGCAAGACTTTTTAGCAGGGCCTGTTCTGGTATGATGAGGGGTGATGGTTTTAAACTAAAAGAGGGAGATTCAGGCTGGATGTGAGGAAAAAAAACCTTTACAATGAGGGTGCTGTGGCGCTGGCACAGGGTGCCCAGAGAAGCTGTGGCTGCCCCATCCCTGGCAGTGTTCAAGGCCAGGTTGGACACAGGGGCTTGGAGCAACCTGCTCTAGTGGAAGGTGTCCCTGCCCATGGAGGGGGTTGGGACTGGAGGAGCTCTAAGGTCCTTTTCAACCCAAACCATCCTGTGATTTTAACCATGGTGGCTTGTTGCAGGTGCTGTGCTTGAAGAAGGGAGCGTTGCTAAAGCAAGTGTTTGCACTCAGCAGGTGAGTGATAAACCCAGTAAGGAAAACACAGTGTAAGGCATTAAAACACTCGTCACTTCTCCTGACAGTGCCAGAAAACATACATGACAAAAGAAGTACTTTATTGCCAATGTAACTCATCTTAGTTCTGGAGGGAAGACCTTGAGCTGATGTCTGGGAGCTGGGAGGGCTGTAGGATGTGAGGAAGGGAAAGTCCTGTTGCTAATGGGATCTATCTGTGTCTGAGGGACTTGGGGTGGGAGGCTTTGTTCAAGGAGATGGGCCAGATGTGCTGTTGTTTCCACATCTGGTGGGTGAAAGCAGAACTCTTAATGATTATCTTGTTTCCTACAGAGCAGCAACACCCAGAGAAAGCCATCTGTGTGCTGCAGGTAAGGCCTCTTAATAATCCACTGCAAGGCAAAGCCTCATTTACCCCGGATAAATATGACACGTTAGAGTGTTTGTGTCTCCTTTTGATTTTTTTAGCTAATTTTGCACTGAGCAGCTGCTCTTCCACTTCCATAGCTGTTTTCCTAACCTTTTTCTTCTGTTTCCCTGTTCTTGGCTAAGCAGGGTCCTGATCATGGTGTTACACTGTGGAGTGACACCAGGCAGATGCTATTCACTGTATCACTGCCCAGGAACTGACTTAGACCCTCGTGACTTTAACCTTTATTGAGCTGCTCGTGTCTGTTGTCACAATTTAAAGTAGAATTTGTTTTTGACGTGGAGGCAAAGTGTAACCGAGTGGCTTAAATCCTTGATGCTCAGCTTCTCTTTGCTGTTCTGAGCTGCTTTATTAAAATGAGGGTTATCGAGGGTCTCATTTTACCCTGGAGAAGGAAGGATAAATAAAAGCTGATGCTGTTCTGATTTGGCTTCCTAGCACATGTATATTTGAACAGGCCTGGATTGAAAATGAAGTGGGGCTCAGATCCATCGTGGTGGCATCGCTGCTGTCATGGAAGAGGAGACAGATAGAACATTTCATCAGCATCCTCCCCATCCACTGCTGCTGACAAGCCTGTCTTTTATTTGCCTGAGAATTCACCTGGGAAATGAATCACTTTTAATCTCTTCCTTATTTGTTTCTCACTGTAACCAGCTGTGAATTGTAACAGCCTTGTGTGGGGCAGAGATCACCTGAAGCTTTAGCTTGGCTTGGCTTTGCTTTGTCAAAGAACTGAAGACAAATTCTTGCCCCCAGTGTGGATTTGGGGCTCTCAAAGCACCTGTATCTGTTAAAAGCAGGGCTGGAAACATGTTTGCTCTGCTTTGTTTTAAGGTGATGCACTCCTGAGTTGCCACAGACACTACAGGTCCCGTCCTACACATGGCATTGGGAGGTTCAAATACCTGCTCCCAAAAGAGGTAGGTATAAAATTCCACTACTGTGCTTTCAGCTGACCCATCTTGTTACAGTCTGATTTAAATGTTGGGAGTATTAATTCCATGGCTGATGGATCATATGGAAAAGGAATGATGTAATTCTCTTTATCAAGGAGTTTACTGCTCCTTGGTACATAAATACCTTGTCCAGTGCATTCCTATTTCAGTTAATGAGTAGTTTTGGGGAGGAGGAATCTCTTCCTGATGCTGAATTTTAACCCCCCAACTTCAGCTCATTGCAGAACATTGTCAGCAGGTTTTATTTGCATTTAAACTTTCTACATTCCCTCAAATTTGGAAAAATGACAGTTTTTATGGAAGGAGGAACCAACAACTCCTCTGAAGAGCTGCCTCGAAGGCAGGAACTGAAATAAAAAGCAGTTTTTCTCCTCTCTTTTTGTCGTCTTCTGGAAGAAATGAATCATGGTGAGTATGTATTTGCTGTGTGGCTTGTGTGGCTCTGCCATCCAAGAACTGAACTGCTCAACTTGAGAACATCTGTTCACAGAATGTCATCCCAGTTTCATAGTCAGGGAGAGTGAGCACAGATGGGCTGTGAGATGCTCAACAGAGCTCAGCAAACCTTTGTCAGAAGAGAGAGCTGTAGATGGTCTCCTGTGTGGGCAAGAGGTAATGGGTTTATTTCCAGCTTTGTTCCAAACAGATCTGCTTTCTGTGTTCTCTTTATTAAATACAGGCTCCGAAGAAGAGAAAGGACAGAGTACAGATGAAGGAGATAAACACTGGGACAGACCATGAGTATGGAGATATCAACATCCAGATGACTTCCTATGATATGTGTCTCGTGGAGAATTTTTCTCAGTATGTGCATAAACTCTGCAACAGACTCTCCATTCGAGTGAAGGAGAGGTATGAGGAGCTGTGCTGCCATCCCGCACCATCTCAGTGTTAGGCCACGTCAGGCTCCTGCATGATGACACCTTGCAGATAAGGGCACAATCTCTGACAGATTCCCACATCCCAATCTTCTCTCTGTGTGTGTCTGTACGGTTTGGGATGCTTTAGTCATAGAATCCCAGAAGGGTTTGTGTTGGGAGGGACCTTAAAGCTCCTCCAGCTCCAACCCCTGCCACTGGCAGGGACACCTTCCACTAGAGCAGGTTGCTCCAGGCCCTGTTCGTGTAAGGAAGGCTGAAATGGAGTTCAGGCACTGACAGAACAGATTGCAAGGGAGAAAGAGCTGTTACTCCTCATTCCTTTGAGAAAGAGGAATGTCTTTGACAGGCCAAGGGGAATGGCTTGAACCTGCCAGAGGTGAGACTGAGATGAGCTCTGAGGCAGAAGCTCTTCCCTGGGAGGGTGCTGAGGCGCTGGCACAGGGTGCCCAGAGAAGCTGTGGCTGGGCACCGCCCTGCCAGGTCAGAACAGATTGCAAGGGAGAAAGAGCTGTTACTCCTCATTCCTTTGAGAAAGAGGAATGTCTTTGACAGGCCAAGGGGAATGGCTTGAACCTGCCAGAGGGGAGACTGAGATGAGCTCTGAGGCAGAAGCTCTTCCCTGGGAGGGTGCTGAGGCGCTGGCACAGGGTGCCCAGAGAAGCTGTGGCTGCCCCATCCCTGGCAGTGTTCAAGGCCAGGTTGGACACAGGGGCTTGAGGGTCCGAATTTGGGGGATGAGCTTTAAGGCCCTTTCCGACCCAAACCATTCCATGATTCTATGGAAGAGGCTTAAGCCTGTGGGTGCTGAGCCTGGGAATGTGGGCTTAAGTATTGCTGACTTACGCTGCTGGTTTTTATAGGCTCTGTGCATATATTGTGCTCACTGCAAGTGATCATACAAACTAGAATGAACTTAGGAAACCCCTGAAGCCCGTGGGAGAGCTACCCACTACTTCAGTAGCAGGGGATGCTTCAGTTGCACACTCAGTCTCCAAAGCAGACGTATCCTGATAGCAGCTTTGCTGGTTTTAATGACTCTGAGGGATATGAGACAGGTCCTTGGTGCCTGCAGTGCACCCGAGGAGTTGTAGTCACTGGGAGAAGCACTGCATTGCTGTAAGGAAGTAAAACCACTTAGTGGTGCTTCTCTGAAATGTGTATCTTTCACTTACCTTAAAGCTTTATTACCTTTTATCATATTTGTGCCATCAGCTTGGACTTAGTGTGCGGAGTTCAGTACGTACAGAAAGAAACGATTTCCCCTTGGAGAGCAAAGCTTGTAGGGTAGAACATGGGTAGTAGGATGGAGCCTGTTGTTACTGGTGCTGTGCAAGTGGAGAGGGGAAGGCTGAGGTCTCCGGGGGAACACTAACTGCAGAATGGGATCTGATCCAGTGCTTCATCGTACTCCTCTTGAATACAGAGGTGGAAATAAGGTCTTTGGAGTGGTGCCTGCCAGCTTCTGCCTCTGCTCCCGAGGAACACATTACAGAACAAATCAGAACTGTGGCTTTAGAGCTTGCTTTCAACTCTAAAGAAGTTGCAAGTTCTCAGGCTGCTGTTGGTAGCTGAAACAGCTTTCTGCTGGCAGGAATGCTGCAAGCTTCTCCCTGTCTCTTTCCAGTAAAGCACCCAGCTTCTGCCAGTGCTTCAGTTGCAAGATACATAGTTTGCATAATTAATTCCTCATGAAAAGTTAATCTCCTTCCACATTCTCTGCTGCTGGAGGTTGATTCCTTCCTGTAAAGCAGGAATCTCCCTCCTTGGCCAAGGCACTGACCTGTGGTTCTTGCAGCTACGCGATGCCCACCAAAACCAATGAAGTGCTGTTCTTGGAAGAGAGAGGTTCCAAACTGCAGCTGGATGCTGTCCTCACAACCCATCAGAGGGTTGTCCAGGTAGGAGTTTGCTGATCGTGCTGTGGCTCTTGTGCAGTGCTTCCTATCACAGGCTCCCTCTCAAAACCCCTTAACTCCTGGAGTTAAGTCCCTGGAACAAATGAAAGGTGTAATCTGTGTGTAAATTGAAGCATGGAGCAGTCTAATAGGATTTCTTGCTAAAGGTTTCTTACAAAGCAGAAGCAAAAGAGGGGTTTCTGGATTATATATTTCAGCCTGAAGATTTATTAACTATTTTATGTAGAATACTTAAGGGGTAGAAGAATCACATTTGGTCTACACGGATGCTGAACAGGGGCTCCTCATCAGGGTCTGGAGTGACAGGACAAGGGGTGATGGGTTCAAACTGGAACAGGGGAAGTTCAGGTTGGATCTAAGGCAGAAGCTGTTCCCTGTGAGGGTGCTGAGGCGCTGGCACAGGGTGCCCAGAGAAGCTGTGGCTGCCCCATCCCTGGCAGTGTTCAAGGCCAGCTTGGACACAGGGGCTTGGAGCAACCTGCTCTAGTGGAAGGGGTCCCTGCCCGGGGCAGGGGCTTGGGACTAGATGACTTTAAGGTCTCTTCAATGCAAACCACTCTGGGATTCTATAAAGGATGAATGATTGGGCAAGCTCAATGAAATCTAAAAATACCGTAAGCATCAGGTCAGTTTCAAACATGCACAACTGGTTGAGGTAAATAGTTCTTCCTCCTCAGTGATTTTTCCCTGCTAAACCTCTGCTGAATTACATTTTAAACCCAGAGGTATATTTTGTCCCCTGGAAAGAGCTGATGTGTGGTTAACACTGGGGCTTGCAGGTTTGCTGTGGCAGCCTTTGTATTAGATTCTCACCTAAATGAAGGTCTTCATGCATGGTTGAGTCTCCTTCCATGCAGGAGAGCAGTCAGGAAGCGCAGGAGAGCAGTCAGGAAGCACAGTGTTCAGAGAGAAGAGCCAAAATGAGAGCTTTGGGCTGTGCTCTATGCAAAAGGTGTGAGCACAAAGCAGAGAGTGCTTCTCTGAAGTGCTTCACTGCCACAGGCTCGTACTGAAAGGGTTCCATGCCATTAATATAATGAGTCCATTTGGGATGTGGGGTTCTGCTCCTGCAGCACTTTCATTTCTTCTTTCAGATCAGCCATTTGAGTTCAACGTTTGCTCCAATCCTCTTGGAAATCATTCAGAGCAACCAGCCTGAAGGGGTCCATCTGTTAGTGAAAGAGGTATGTCTGATTTTAGCAATGATGGGCTCTCAGGAAGCAGATGTGATGTGACATGAATTTGCTTTGAAAAGACAGGCCTGGTCCTGAGGCTGCTGTCTGCTCTAGACTTACGGATGTCCAGGATCTCCCAGAACCAGCCCCTCTCTTGGTCTATGGAAAACCATTACCTCTAACTCATCATGAGTGTTTCATGCTCCATTTAGCATCCTCAGGATGTATC